TTTTCTAACGCTTCGTTCTAGCGTACCTAGACGCTCTGCGTGTAGGGGTCTCCTTACTGTCACGGCTTCAATCCTTTTTACTTGAAAGTTTTTCGCTAGAAATATTCAACATTCCTCTATTAGACACGCGCGACATTCTTTGCAACTAACCAATGAAATGACATACATAAATTCACATTAGGTTTACCAAGATACTACTAAAACAAATACGGGTAGCAAATTCTTTTGAAGCATTGATCATCGATAATTCTTCGTTCTTGCGTTTCACTATTTATTTTCGAACTTCTTCGATATTTCTTCCATTTCCGTGATACTTCTAAAGTTCTAACCACTAAAATTAACATTAATTACCAAGCAATTAGAACAACTTATTTAGCATTTCCTCTAAAACCTAGAAAAGGTTTCTTGAGATTAAAGTTATTTTACCATTTCTCACGGAAGAGTTTTAATAATTGCGAAACAGAAATATTCAAACAGCTGATTTTGATGCGTCTGGTAATATTAGTGCTAAGAAATTGGTTATACAATTTGTCAGCGTTATCTAACGAATATTATTAGCTCTCATTGTCGCTTCCCTCAACAACGCAATTATTGAGACTTCAGTTGGTTTGTAATTCAGTTTGTGTATTGCTAAATCAGTTTCTCTAGTACTTTTTTTAGAGAAGCATCTCTAATCTGTTGAAGAACTGGAAAAAATGAAATCGGGAATGGGCCATTTTGATCCATCCGATAGTTCTAGTGTTAATGCCTCGAAATAGTCCGTGCCTGAAAGTCGCGCCCCCTGTGCAAGTTATTACGTGAACATTACGAAATTCTCCGTGTTGACGGCTCGTTAAAATAATGGCGAACAATGAGCGGAGACAGTTCTTCGGCTAGAAATTATTTTTAGACTCGACAGGAAGACTTTCTTGAATGCCGAACGTCCTCGTTGCCGCGCGGCGGCACGTTCTCTTTGCATCGCCTCAATGAATTATGCATCGTTTTTCTTCTCGTTATTTTCTGAAACGATCCCCACTGCAGAACGTTTTACAGGCGGAGGAAATAGTTAGCGGATCGACTGGTTGAAATTAACTCCTCCGTGGATCTAACTCATCGATTCTTCGGCGTAAAGACAGCAAAAAAGAGTAGATAAAATTTTTTATAAGTTTATCTCGTTGGATAACTAGATCTTTTAATCCTTTGCCATACATTATATCGAGTCAGACTCGTGATGGAGTTCTCAAACGGAAGTTATAAGAATTGTATGTTACGCAATTATTTTGGGTTTTAATTAAATAGTATTTTTCTATTGCTATTTGTTATGTTTTGGAGTAAAGGTGGGTACAGGTGAATTAGGGATTTTCCTGTGTTTCTTTTTTTTATTTTTATTTAAGTCAATTATTAAGATCAAAGTTATCCTAGTGATTTTAATCTGCCCAATCTTTAATCATGGTTGTTGGCAAATATTAAAATTGGGAAGGGAGAGAAATTCATTTGTCAAAATGATTAACTCTAGTTAAAGAGCAGACACGCTTGATGAAATTACATACGTGAAAGGTCAATTACTGTTTTGGCACTAAAATTTGGAAATGGAATTAATCACTTTGACTCGTGAACGACTCGGACACACGTGAAGCGAAGATCGGCAGCAACAGTACTGTCCGTTGCAGCAAACCTGGCACTCTCGTCTGAGTGGCCAGAGTCGAAGGCGCACGCCTTGCCCACATGGATTTTCGGTTTTGGCATATGATTCGCTGATGCGTTCACGCACACTACTCGGGTCGCGCGACAAAGAACGTGAAGAGCCGTTTACGGACTCACAATTGGATTTCTCGGAGCAATTGCTTCTGTTCCTATGACGTCACGAGTGCCAGGTTCATTGCAACGAATGGCACCAAAGAAACTGTATTTCTTCGCGAATTACGCGATATGACGGAATCATTACTTAACCCTCTATGGGCCGAATTTTGTTTCGCGACTATAACAAAGTTCATTCAGTATGAAGTTAATAAATATCAACCTACAAATAAAAATGAACTATACTCAATAGTCTTAACAATCTTATCAAAACAAACATTTTATAACTTACGAAATTACAATGACGTACGTTTATGTTTGTGTGTATACAAATTTAAGTTGATTAATTATTTAACTTCATTCTTCGCTTTACGCTAAAAATTAAATAAATTAATTTAAGCCAGTATATCGATGTGTGACTTCAAAGTCACACTGGCCTATAGAGGCTTAGCTGTGCCCGAGTAAATGAGGGGAAAGCTGCTAAAATCGGGGAAATTTATGAAAAGTAAAGTTGATTAAGTTAGCATTCAAAGGGGAGCTTGAACGTGAAATATTTTCAGATGTACCGCGGCGCACCAACAAAATGGCGGACACCGTTTTCCTCGATCGCGCGACAGGATGCAATATTTACGACCCGCAGACTACACTTGTCACGTTAACTTCTATCGGAATTAACAACGAACCCGTCGTGTGACATTATTTATGAATTGGAAAGCACCGCTGATAACCTATATTGAACACGCGGAATCGTATATTTCGATGTCAGTCGTCGCGTCTAGGTAGATTAAGGCACGTTTGCGCTGGCTAGTCTATTTCTGGTGTCTATTTCCTTAGAATTTCCTAACGTCACCGGCGTTTTACGGTCGGACACTTGAAGAAAAAGATTGTAGCAGCGAAGTCAAGGTGTTTTATCAGCGATCGCTTCGATTCCACTATCTATGTTCCCTAGAACTTCAGTATCTTGTCTCGAAACATCTAAGAAGTAGAATTTAGTCGGTATAAGCAGATAAAGGCGTGTTATCACTTTTCGATTCGCTTTGAGTATGCGTTCTCTTTGAAATGTTTTTTATTTGGAATATTTCATTGAGGAAACTTGGAAGAAAATAAATGTGACACATCTGAACTCTCAGAGTGAATCGGATATTTTTTATTGTACGAACAAAACTTCGGTGCCGTATAATTTTCCATTGACTGTATCGCAGATACGAAAATGCTGGTGCCTATTAATACACTTGGCGTGTCGCAGATAAAAAATGAGCTGGAAGAATGCTTATTATTCAGTCCATTATCTTGAGGAAGGTCAATGCACGACCTTGTTCGTTCTCGAGTTTTCCTCTTATCTGTCACTTTGCGTCGGTCTCGCGTCTCGATAATCGTGACCATCAATTGCCGCTTCTCTTTCTCATAATGATTATGAAGTTTGCAATGGGCAAGATAAACAGGAATTGAAACCGTGATTCAAGAATGCGAATTTCAGGGAAGAGTTTATTTTAATCCTTGATACACTGATAACTTGTCGTGATATTATATTATTTTATACTTTGATCAATTAACACGTTGATGGTCAAATTAATATCTACTGAATTTCCTGTCTGAACGAAGATCGATGCTTAATTAGAAAGGGTACACTAGCAGTGTTTGTTTTATTAATAACCATCGTGGTTACTATATTGGGCACAGTATAACCTTTTAATGAAACATTTAGAAAAAAGTGCAGCAAAAAAGAGCTGTTAACTTTTAGAGTGTAACAGCTTGCGTCATGACTTTAAATAACAGCTTGCATAAAATTGTTTTCTTTTTATCAAAAGGAAAGAAGATCGTGATTATGAGAACCGTTGGTAGCGAATGCGATAAAATCTATAAAGCAACGAATGTTGCAATAATTATCTGTATATCATCATGAAAAATAATTTTGTGTATTTATATCAATTTGTATTTCTGGATTTAACGTAACTGAAACATACATTAAAATCTTAGTTAGTTACAAAATAGTTACAATACTAACTACACATTAGCTAACATGGTTACAAATATATTTTCCTTTTCTTAAAGATAGCTGTTATTAGTCATTATTTTCGTGAATTCATTATTGTTAGTAAGGTTAAAAGTATAAGAAATAGTATTTGTTATATTTCAGTACAAGATATGCGCACAATATCTCTTTCTTCAATTGCGTAGAACATATACGTTTATGGCATTTACTTCACTTTCATTTATACTTCTTATCGTTCTCATTAAGAATGTGAGACCTTGCTCGCTTTAAAACCGATAACGGTTTTCTTACTTAGTTCGGATTTTTCGCCAATTGCTTCAATTAGCCTAAAAAGTGTGTACGCAATATTACATTTTCATTTTTCAAACCAGTGGATCAATTACCAGTTTATTTCTCTTGCTATTACACGGGTTACTGAAAATAGATTACTCCGTCGACTGATTGACGGTAGGAATTAATAATAATCGCGATCGGAGTAACAATTAAAATTAAATTAAAATCATTTTTATTTTCATTTAACACTGCTCACATACAATTCCCGTAAGAGAGTTTCCAGTAAATTAGTTACAATTGTATTCATACAATCATATCTATAAAACAATTCTAGATACCATTACAAACGTTGTATTACTAGTATTTAATTAATCCAAAAATATTTCAGGAAAATCATTATTTCCCAATAACTCAAAAATAGAAGTTACACACTATTACTTCAAGCCGCTGTTCTATCACATTGACATTTAACACGTTGGATACCATGGGGGTCACCGGTAACCTCAACCAAATATAATCACTATAATTTATTCGATTAAACAATGATTACTTAAACACTTCTCTATATTACAAATAATACCACCTAATGCAGTGACATTCGACAAGATAATCCTGCAATAATAATAACGTAATTCAATTACATAAGTTGACGCTACATTATTTTCATTTTGTATATTTTTCCTGGCATAATCGTGCGGCGCTGAACGTGTTAAAATTAACTCGAAAAAATAACAATTGTTCGTGCTTAAGCGACGTTCAAACCTTTCGCTATTCGGCGTGAATGACGTCACGAGGCGGCAGAGCGGCGTGATTGGTCGCCGACTGGGCAAAACGTCACGGTCGCGATGGTGGGGTTGAAGCGCGCGTCCCGGCCGGCGGGGAAGCGGGGGACGGTCGGGCGCGCGAGAGGAGGGCAGAGAGCGGCCGCGGCGTTGTGCTATTTTCATCGGCGCGCTACCGCTGGCCCAGATTCGATGCGACCGTCACGACGTGTACGTGATACCCGAATCTGTCCGCGAGTTCGCTGGGCCTCCCGGCTTGTCCATCCACTTTTGCGAGCATCCGTGACTCCGGAACCGTTCCCCAGGATCGTATCGACCATCGGCTGGTATCCGTGAATCCGTCGATAAAACAGTGAACCCCGAGTCTAAACTGGTGTAGAAGTTCCGTAATAAACTCTCCTGCCACTTGTGGCCGGTTCCTGTTCTCCCCGCGAATCGAGAGCGCAGTCTCTCTCTATCTCTCTCTCGTATGACCTGGCGGAACCACGCGGAGTGTAATCCGTAGTCGTGTACACGCTATCTTCCCACGGCAGTGTACACCGAAGTGCACGTAAGATGTGACTCCCTGGTCAGTGTCGTTGTGTTCTCCCCCGCGCTAGTTTGCCGAACATCAACTACCGTGCGACGCGAGTTCGCATCGCCTCCGCCCCGTTACCAGCCGCATCTCGCCTTTTGTGCTTTTTCTCGTACGCTGAAAAGTTTCACGCTTCCCGAGAGCCACACAGAACAGCCGCGCGGCACGGCACCGATCCAGACTCGTTTGGTTCCCCATCAAATGAACCCAAGGTACGTCTAGCTACGGAATGTTCATGGCTGTGAGAACTTGGTTCCGTCACGTGGCCGAATTTTCGCCGATTACACGCTCGGCGGCTCATTCAAGCCTCGGTTCGTATCGCGCCGCCTCGGGATCGAACAGGTCGCACGCGCATTCCTTGGCATTGCGAACAGCATCGGCGCGGACCATTGCCAGGCGGCGATTATTAAACTGGCTTGTGTAAATGAAAACCTGTTACGACACGGGGCAATTTGTCACGCGACTTTTTGCCCGTTCTGGCGTATCGCACCGCGTATAGGTTAGCCTGATCTCTGTTGCAACTTCAGGGCATGCTTCGAAGGACGTGATGAGATCGTTCAGCGTCGAGGGTATATTTTGACAGTTGATTTGCAACACGGTTTCTTTGAAGTCTGGTAGCGTTAATGCTTTGGCTCAATAATTCTTTTTCGTTCTTTTGTTTTACCTGCTCTTTTTATGGGTCTCGTAATCGTCTTCGCGAGTAACATTAACGATACAACTGACATGTCTTTAAAGTGATTGATAAGTTCTCGTAAAACTTATGAGAGCTCGTATTTTTTTTAAGTTCGTACATGAGGTTCATTACATTATGCAAATAAAACTGTTAATTTTTTAAATAATTATGAATGTAAATACGTTTATGCCTTGAGTAATTGCAAATTGAGAAAATTGAAATCGCTCGTTTGACTATTGCAGTAGTTCTAGTGTTGAAAAAAGAAGAAGTAAATAGACACGCGAATGGAGTGCACTACTGTGACCCCCTCCGCTTGCATTCCTTTCGCGTTGTTTCTTTTTCAACCGCTCTCTCGCGATCCTGGCATGATTTATTTGGGATAACAAAGAACAAATATTAGGCGCAGTGAATTGTATAAAATATTCTTGCTTCTTCGAGACGTCTCTGACGAGGTAACTTTGGATTAACACATTGAATATCGCACGATTTTATAAAAAAAAATACACAAAATGGGAAAAATATGATATGAAATCATTTGATTAAGTTGCATTATTATTATTGCATGTTGTCCTGGCTGAATGTCACAAAATTAGGTAACATTATTTATAATATAGGAATGTTTCCAAATAATCGTCGTTTCGTTGAGTGAACTATAGTAATTTAATATGGTTGGGGATCACCGGTGACCCCCAAAGCATTCAACGTATTAAAGAAAAATAAATTGTTTCGAAAAAATTGATTTTTACCGACTGTTTGAAGTTATGAATTCGAGGGATATTAGCCATGAAATTAAAACTCATTTTCGATCGAGGAAGTTACCTCACTGTCCGAGAAAACCAGGTCTGCTCTCGACGTTTTCCCCCGCATGTCATGGTTCTAAAACCGCCGTTGTGGCGTAGTAAGGTGTGTGTGATCGATCGACCGATTTTTCTCTCCAGCCTGCCTCGTTTATTGCTAAATGTAGAGCCGGCACGTGGGAGGATACGTGTCCGTAACCGTGTCCGTTCGCCGTTTATCAGGCGAAGTTACGAATTGCTACAGTCTGGCCGAGTCAATCGGCAACCATGTCTACTATTTTTATCGACGTTTCTCTCTCCAGGCACATTGAACTTACGCATGACCCGTAACGACGCGAAAGTTGGGCAACGCGAACGTCTCGTTGTCTCTGAATGGCGCGTGATGTCACTAGATTCTTGTCCCTAGGAACTTCCACATTCATTGTTCTTTCACTTTCTTAGAGTCGAATATTTTTCGTTGCAATTTCGAATTTTTATACAAAAGAATTTTGTAGAACTATTAAGCAATGTTTGTTCGCTTCGCGAACAGATAATTTATAAAAGTTGATGTGGGACTTTTTATTTCAACACGTTCGCTGCCAGCGCTTATTTCGGTGACGGTTTTCTCAATTATAATATCTTCTAAACAAAATATTAGAAAATTGAAACTGAAAGGAGTCATTGAATTCCTAAATATAATATCTTAGTTTATAATTTCTAATAACAATATCTATAGGATTAATCTTATTTTCATTGTGTAAAATATAGGATTACTGTTGAGATAGATTCTAACATATTCCATTTTTTTCTATAAGAAGAAGTAAATCTGTTACACTCTCTTTGAAACGTAACAATCAATTTAATAAAAATATTAAAACAAGATTTATTGTTAAAGAAAATGAAAGTGCTTCAGTTTCGAGGAACCAAGAAAATATAAACATTCCTTGATACTTTGATCACGGTTTGGTACGTATCTTTAAAGTTTAAACTAGAAATACAGATGTTCTTATTACTAAAATTTCTAAGCATACCAAAGTTACTCAATTGATCCGTATCGTTAGTGGTATGGCGCTTAACGACGCGACCAACAGCGATCATTATGCAAGTAGCAATCTCTATGCTGTAGCTAGCTGTGACGCAAAATTCAATTGCATTAGAGGTTGTTTGCGGCGCATACAGCGTTTTGGTAGACTCAGTACGGAAGCTGACTACCTTGGAATACAGCAACGGGCACACCTGCGGACGTTACGTTGGTAACATAATCGTCTTAGAAATCGCGTTCCCAGCAGGTGACCTTGGCTCGCGCCAGAACTTGTGAATTTCAGCTCGACGGCTATTTTCGAGCCGAACAGACGTTCGTAATCGACGGACATGGTATTCTTCTTTTTCTTTTCTTTTCATTTTGCATCAGTGTTAACAATTCCTTCGTTCCACGAAAGAATTCCGTCCTAACTCAACCCTAGGCTTACCATGGAATCGTATGACGCTAAAACGTCCATAAACATGGATAGACGTTATTGAGATAGGAAAATTGAAACCCCAGAAATTTATTCAGTAATTTTTTTTTACCTTTTTAATTCTTTTCTAGACACGTCACTCGATCATCGCGCGATGACACGCGACAGGTACGTGATGCTCGGCTCTTCTCGCGTTGGGAAATCGTTTTGCGCTCGACCTAGTCCTGTTAACCCTAGCAAGACTGAAGGGGATGCCTTTCAAACCTCTGAATTGTAAAATAATTTAACGAATATTTCGCTTATTTCTCATAGAGTATTTCAAGAAAATCATTTTAATGAAGATATTATTTTTTCAAGAATGATGATAACGGAAATATTAGTTATCTTAGATAAGGTGTGCTATCCAAGGTTTACTTTTTAAAGGGGTATGTGTATCTTCAGTTCAGGTGTATACTGAATAAATCTCACAAAATTACGTAAACAAAATTTATGATCAAAAAGTTATTGACCAATGTTCATCATTTACTTTAACTATAAACTCCATTGCATCGTAAGCAGTTTTAAAGATGTTCTTATTAAAATAAATAACCAGCAATTGTAACAATTGAAAGCTGTTTTCCTTTTTGTAAAAATGCTTTTTTAACTTTCGATTTGCGTTTTCAATTTTTCACGTATCGAAAAGCCCATTCGAATTTTTCATGTTATTGTTGAACCTTACACTCGAACCGCAAACATCCCTATACGATGCAGCTCAATACAAACTCCTAAATAAAATTTAAACTCCGACCTATTTCACATCGTTATTGGAAAAACAACATGGGCAGAAACGAAAGTTAAAATCACAATGCTTGGTGAAACGTTTAAAACCGTTGGACCAGCCGGTTGTATTTTAAATATTTAACTTCTAAATATTTGAAAAATACATGTCACATTTTAAGTATTTAAAATGTAAATATTTGAGAAATAAATGTAACATTTTAAACATTTAAAAATATACACCATATCGAAATAGCCTTAATCAAATTTCTGAAACAGTTTGTGATAACGTATCCAATTTGTATTCAATATTTCAATAAAATTATCAATTATCGTCGAAGTGATCTTCGTTAGATAGGGCCCGAGATTTGTGCCATTCTAAATCGAATTCCAGAACACTGACGCCATTTCCATGGTATATTTAGCCCCAACGATTCCCTACTCCCATGAAGAAACATTTGACAAGAATATCAATTATATGAACCATTATGCAAATTGGCAGACCTGTTGAAACCTATCAAGAAGTTCAGTGTTTGAACTATAGAACTCGTCGCTGAGAGGTTCAGGCCTGTTAGGCACGCTGTACAGTCGCCGGTGTCTATAGCCGAGAAATGTTTCAAATTCTTCGAACCAACTGAACGACATTACCGCCGCGAACTGGTTCGATGACATAATTTCTTTGGCGTCAAACTGGAACAAACGAACTAAGAGCGTGCCGGAGAGACTCGCGATTGAATAATCGTTTCTTGTGCGTGCGTAGAACCTTCGACCGGTTGCTTGACAGCCGCAGTTTGTTTCTAACCATCAAGGATTATGACATTCGAGTTGCCAACTTGACTGACTGTCTTTGCGCTGATTTGATGAGATGATTAGAACCAGCATAGAATTATTTGCAGCGAAATTCATATGGCAATATGGATGGACATATGATACTATCCGAAAATATTCGATTACTGTTTAATTATAGTAGAAAATTAAAGTATGCTTCAATTAATCATAACAATGTATTATTATATTAAATCATACTAAAATTAATTATTACAGAAAATAGACTAAAGCAATATTAGAATATTTATTTCCAGTGTTCAACCATTTTCATATAAAATATTTCTAAACATAAAATATTTGGAGTAATTACTTGAAAGGTATTAACATATTCGTTACTTTAATATTTTATGCTTAAATCGTTTCAAATTGTTTAAATATTTATTACTATTAAATTTTGTGTAGATGTATCTTACTGGAGTTGTTGTCGCGTCGATATTAAATTTATTTAATTTTTATTTGATAATTTTCGTTACGTTTGAATATATTTCTTTAAATCAATTATTTTACTACGCACGCGCTATCGAGATAAAAATTACGCGTCACCCACGTGTATCTGTTCTGACGGTCCGGATTAATGTAAGATCTCTACCCCGGATTAGCGCCACCCCTCCTACCGTTGCTCCTTTTATTCGAAACGTTCCGCACAAAGAAATCCTACAACAAACAACGAAAGACAGAATAACATCCGGATTAGCGCAATTATTCAGCATTAAAGCACATAA